AAAAAAACCGCAAACCCATTAATCGAACGTACATACAAGCATCTTTTGGAATAAACCCATGTACATGTATGCTGTTTGCTTCTAGGAATCCCACCAAGTGTCCCTCAATGGATCCAAAGTCAACCAGCTAATAAGATTTGCAATAAGATTTGCATCCCCGTGCGTAGCGCAATGGTTACTTGCTGCTCTTTGGGCAGGTTGTGATTTTCATTTCATGTCCGAGTTCAATACCCTTTCTACACACTAACAACTTTAATCATTGTCCTTTTCAAAAAAAAAAATCAACTTTCCAAAAAGCGGACAAAAAAAGGTTAATTAAGATTTAAATCAAGAAAGTATAACAGAGCAATATGGGTATTTGACAAATTTTGCTTACATACAATCCAGTATACACCTCATGGGGATTTGGTTTTGTGTGATAAAGAGTGTCCATATATCGTTACATAATAATCGCCATGGCGAAAAAGAAAACACCTCTTACAACGGATACTGGTGACAGCCTACTTGAAAGAATTGAAGAAGCTGACTGTGTCATTGAGTGCCTGGATAAAATCATCAACATCTTCCTTTGTATTGTAGAAGTGTAGACTGGCACGCGCACTTGCACTGACTCCTAGATAGCGATGCAGGGGTTGAGCGCAGTGGTGACCTGATCTGATTGCCACTCCATGCTGGGATCAAACATGTTAGTTGTCATTCAAGATTAAACCCGAAATCATTAAAAGGATAGGGTAGAATAAATGTAATGGCAAACAATTCCCAAAGATGCTGTAATGGAAGTTACCTGTTGGTCGAGAAAAGTGGCAATATCTGTAGGGTGAATGTTCTCGACATTGAAAGAACAAAGAGCAGCACGGTGAGTGTTCTTTGAAGGCTTTGGGCCATAGATCCGAATATTTGGAACAGTAGAGAGTTTGTCATATAAATATTCTGATAGCGCCATCTGTAAAATCATTATTGCCACCATTTTCAGAGTAGGAACATGTATTTCTTATCATTTAATGATCTATAATGCTACAACATATACCTGAACTGCAAGATGGTAAATGTTTTTGAGAACCAAAAAAGTTTCTAAAGCAAACATACTGAATACTAATGAATTTGTCACACAAATCACAGAACTAGTCCACAGAAGCCTCTCAAGAATGGATGTAGAACTATAAGCTTAAGTCATTGGGAGTATGCAAAAAGTTTAACTTTTTCACCGATTTCTTTCAGAATTAACAACTGCATACTTAAGTCCAAATTTCTTTTTAATCATTTTCTTCTTTTTTGTCGCTAAAAAATCTGAGCAGCTTTTTATGGTCCACAGTCCCCACAGGAATCCCTGAAGACCCAAAATCCAACCATATTTTCTAAACAGGAAGCTCAAACATGAAAAAAGAAAAAGAAAAAGGGGGAACTCACTTCATAATCATGAATCTTCTGCATGCCAATTTCAGACAAGTAGTCAATTGCAGCTCCTAGTCCAATTGCTTCCCCTATTGCAGGTGTTCCAGCCTCAAATCTAGCCCAGTTTAAAAGCAGGCAGAGAATAAGACATATTAGGAAACTTTAACATACAAAAGACCAAGACAGAACAACAACCTTTTATTAACATAAATATAAATGAAATGTGATATAAGCCAAGTATGCTTGAGAAACAAAGAGGATGACTCTAGGATAGCTGTCACCCCTTGAAAATAAAAAACAATGTGAATATTGGCTTGTAGAGTATAAATTCTGCTATCAATGCACAAACTTCATCATGCAAAAGCAACTCAATTGGAAGTGAAAAAAACTGCTAGAGATCTTCTCATCCTTGTATGAGATATGATAATGTTCAGGAAAGAAAAACAGTCCAACCTGGAGGGGGGTTCTGCATAAGTAGAGTGATCCAAAAATACATCAGATATCATTTCCCCACCACCTAAAAGAAAAGTGGAAACCATAATCAGAATTGGATTCAAAGTAGTGACATACCATGGATATGTAAGAAATAAAAGCAACTGCATACCTAAAAATGGAGGCATTGCTGACAAGAGACTGCTCTTACCAAATAAGAAACCAATGCCTGTAGGGCCACACATCTGAAGCATGTTTATTCCTTAACTTGAATAACTTCACATACTCAAACAAATGAATTTAATTCTATACAAGGCAATGACCTCACCTTATGAGAGGAAGCAACAAGAAAGTCAGCATCGAGGCTTCTGACATCAACCACCATATGGGGAACACTCTGACAAGCATCTATGAGCACCTTTGCCCCAAATTCATGAGCCCAAACGATAATATCTTCAATAGGAAGAACGGAAGCTGCAGAAAATTAAAGAATATGGAAATTAAATATGACTACAATATTTATTATTTTCATATTTATATAACTATTATTACGGACATCACCAATCAACAGCCTTGGTAGAATATAATCTTAAAATCAAAAAAAAAAAAAAAATGGTCTTGGCTCAGCAGATGAGGCCATGAGGGGAAGGTGCAGAATGGCAGGAGATGGCTTTCATCTGAGGCAATTGGGCAAAGCTACTTTGACCCTAAGAAGTAAAGTCATGACCTATTGGTAGTCTTGTTGCCCCTCGTATAGGAGAGACAGGTCTGAGGTTAAAATAAATATTTATTCCATCTCATTCCAGGACTCATTACAAACAAAAAGTGATTGGATAGGCATTAGGAATGCCTCTAGACAAATGCATGATCTTAACCAGATTTTCTTAGCAAATTAGTGACTCTATTTTCTCTTTTAAACTGCAACTAAAATCTACATCTCTACCTTGAGTAAAGGCATGCATTCAATGAAATTAATATCATACTTCAACATCATCAATAGCCTCATATAGCACCATAAGCAAACAGATATGAAACGTATGGTTAATGTAAAAATACAGGACAATCAATCCTACCAAGCACATTAGATACATGATGAGCAACCACAAGTTTCGTCTTCCTCGAAAGTATTTCCCTAAACTTTCCCGTGTCAGGAACCTCATCTTCGTTTAAACTCACAAATTTGAGAATAGCACCAGTTTTTTGAGCCACAAGCTGCCAGGGAACAATTGCACTGTGATGCTCTGCAATTGTGAGTATGATCTGCAAAAATACAAAAAATGCAACAAAACAACCACAATCACGTTAAGGTCCAATTCACTGCAGAAACAAAAACAAAATGAACTGACCTCATCCCCTGGTTTTAAATTTGAAAGGCCCCAAGCGTAAGCTACTAAATTTATAGCTTCAGTAGCATTCCTGGTAAACACAATTTCACTAGAATCCGATGCATTTATGAAAGCAGCAACCTTCTTCCGAGCCAACTCATACTCATCCGTCGCCTTCGCACTGTTATAAGAACAAGATTCTCAGAAACAACTGAAAAGCAAAATTACGCCAATTGAACAGTCAATTGGATACCTCAAGTAGTGAATTCCTCGATGCACATTCGAATTATATGCTTCGTAATACTTCTGCAAGGCTTTCAACACCACAGTCGGTTTCTGAGAGGTCGCCGCATTATCCAAGTACACGAGCTTCGAGCCATTTACCTCCTGAAAAAAAAAATTCGAAAGCATACAGAAATCAAGGGAACGAAAAAACGGAATCAACCAAACATCTGTTCGACGAACTAAAACACAAAAAAAGAAGATCCAAAATCTTTGGGAACAAGAAAGAAACCTGGTGGAGGATGGGGAAATCGGGTCGGGTGATGTGGCCGAGGGAAACGGAGCTTTCTTTAACGGCGGAAAGAGAAGCATAGATGCGGCGGAAGCCCCGCCGAGAAGTAGAAGTAGCCGGTTTTACAAAGTGAAAAGTAGGTAGCTTCACCACCATCCCTTCCATCATCGTTCAACAACAACCACTGCACGGCTTTACCCCGGGAAGGAATTATGCCCACTTTTCTACGGTGGCTATTGGGTGAGCTTGGCCTGCTTTCTCTTAGGCACTGGTCCGATTAGATTTGTCATTTTTGGGCTCGATGGAGAATGTTGTTGGCCCTGATAAATAGGGGGCAGACAAATAGAGAACTGGCCCTCAGAGCCCACTGAAAAAGAGAGAACGGGCCAACAAAGCTTGACTGATTGACTGTGGATTTGGGAGGGGCGGCTTTTTCCTGGGTTATTGGATCTGTCCTCATTCAGCGGCTAGATATTAACGTTGGGCTTTCTAAAACGGGCTTATGCTCAATCACGTTTTTCATAAATCTTACCTTTTTCAAAGGGCTAAAAAAAAAAAAAAAAGGTAATTGGAAGAGGGTGTAGATCTTGTAATTATTAATGAGGATTTAAGTAGTCTCATTTACAATTATAAGATATGCAGTCAATCAATTAACAACAATCTCTTAAATAAAATTAATAATTTATTGATTCAGCACTTGACTCTAGAAACCCAATGACATTATCCATTGAAAAGTGCATTCCCCCTGTCTAGGGCAGGGTTTCGAATCCACTTCATGTCAAAATATTCAAAAAAATAATTTATTGATTCAAGTAAAAAATTTAATTTTCTTTAAATAAAATCTTGATTTAAAATTTTGTAAATAAAAAAACAATGTTAGGAGAACTTTTTTTTACAAAACATTATGCCACTCAATTTCAAATTAATTAGAGCATTTAGCTTTCAAAAATCTCTTAAATAAAATGTATAAAAGTTTGATAAACATTAGAACTTGATGCAAATTAATTGACACAAGATACTTCAAAAACACATACTGGTCATTTTGCTTCGGAATATCCAATCCACTAATAATTATAAAACCCAATAGAGAATGTCAGAAAATAATGACAGTACCAACATAACAACTACGAGTGGACCCAAAGCTTGCTATTGAATGAACTAGCAGCAGGTCAGAAGGAGTAAATTCTGGACAAATATAAACCATCAAAAAAGAAATAACCGCATGGAAGGAAAAACAATAAGATGAGCAAACCTCCGCCAAAAATGTGGCGAATGAACACCTTAAGGCAGATAGAACAACCATCCGTTGAGATATGTAACCAGAAGCAGACTGAGTAATTAAGATGCTGCATTGTTGAGCCCTCAGAAACGCACTCTAGAAAAAGCTAAACTGTTCTCTCTCAAAAATCATGAAGTACACTTTCCGAGCATTAGACCCCTGAGGATTTGAGAAAGCTAAGCAAATTCTGCTATAATTCTCATGTCAAATTGAAAGTATTTAACAAAAGCGTTTGGCGCAAAGGACATGACATAACCTCAGCTCTGGATAGCCAAAACTGCAAATTCTTCTGAATTTCATGCAAAATTCGAAATCGTTTGCGCCATTATATCATTCAAAACATCGTATACTCTGGAGGCTTCCATCACCGACATATCATTTCGAGAGAACGTTGACCTTTGAGAGTTTGAACCAGTGTATATGGTAAGAGAAGAGATCATACGGGTAGAAGTCTAGTGAGTCGGAAGGCAATGGGAGATGTAGGCCGCCCCTCTGTTTGCGTGAGGCTGGACGGGACGTTTGCCGCGCGAGATTTGAGACTTTCTTCGCGACGTTTAACGGAGAAGACTTACTTACTAATGGCCATTTAACGTGGACTAGCTGCGTTTGTTAATGTTAATGTGGTGATTTAAGTGTTAATGTAGATAAAAGTGCCTTTTTAATTTTCTTCTTTTATTTTTTTAACGATATAGAGATAATTTTTTTTATAATTTTTATTTATTATTAAATAAATAGATAAATATAATATTATGAATCTTAATTAAATAAAAATAATTAATTATTAAATAGCACTTAAAGTCATAAAAAAAATTTATTTCAAATCAAAATTCTAATTTAGCGTAATTAGAATTTTATACAAATTCAAAGGTTCCTCCACATCAACATCTAAAACAAATGAAAATGAAGGGAACAAATGGATCAATCTAACCATTTAAGCCATAGTGTCATTACTCATAAAAAACTTATTTGCATTAGTTGAAGAGTCAGAAGATTTATTTATATCATTTTTAGTTTAAAAGTTTTAAAAGCTAATTTAAGATAAATTTAAAGATTAAAAAAAAACTTTTACCAAAAAGATAAATATCATGAATTGAAGATATTAAAAATATTAAAACTATTTAGAACTAATAGTACTAAATAGGTAAGGCATAATGATAATGTACTAATGATTTAGTCAACATCATTTTTTTATTAAGAGTTTCTCATGTTAAAATTTCAAGGTATAAATTTAAGTTTCACTTATTTGACGTTTAAAAAAAGAAAAAAAAAAAAGGAAAAAGTAGGGCATAATAAAAAACAAGGAAAAAGGCGTTGATAATTTCCACACAAATGACACTGTCAATCGTTAGTCAAGAAAAAAGATTACTCCATTTGTCAACAAAGCTATAACCCATAGGGTATGCTAATTTGGGTACTTTAAAGATACTATGCGTAATTAAAAGAGAATAAGGAAGAGGTAGTCGCAAGGTTTTTAAATTGAACCACTTAAGGGAAAATTAGCCATAAAAAAAAAAAAGAGAAAATAATAAAATAAGTTTTTACTCCAATAGTAAAATAAAAATTATTGAATTGCTAAACGTTTTCAATACCATCAAGAGCCATTTCAAACCAATAATTTTAATTTTAATTGCGCAACACTTTATTCTAACAATAAAATAGAAAGAAAAAA